AAACAAATCACTTCATCAGATTTGGATAGATCACTTTTGTCTTACTTAAGAGACCAACATTAATTACCTTTAAGGTCTTTTACATGGACTATTTAAAATAAGTACAATTTATTTATTTATTTCAAATGAGGTGCTTCTTCCAAAGTATTAAATAATGTCTACAAATGCAAAACCATTTTTATAAATAGGTAATTAAAACAGATGACTAAAATTAAGTCAAGCTGCAAAACATTACCCAGAATGCACTGTGACTTTTTTTTTAATAAACATCTCAGGCAATTTTTTTCCATCCAAACCCCTAAGCACTTCAGGGGGGCAGAGGGGGAAGGAGAGGTAGAATGTTTCACAGGGTAAAAAATACACATATATAATGAAATAATGCCAAACCCCAAACTAACGTATTTACAGGATAGTCCCTTAAGCATAGTTTGTCATACTGCAATTACACCTTGCCTACTGCCAAGCCAAAGTGCTTACTCTTGCCACTAGAGGGAGAAGTGTCTCAACATAAAGCAATGGCAGATAGGGAATGGGTTTTCTTGAGCAATTATCAGAACAAAGCTCCCTTGGCTGTGTGTACCTTCTAATTACTCAATACAATTAAAATGACTAACCTAAAACAAATAGGAATAAACTCGCCTGCCTGATATCAGGGACTTCATTAAACCTTTTCCTTTCATCAATCAAATAAGGAAGAAGGGAATGTCATCCGATGCAAACATTACAGAGCTTTAAAAGGAAGTAAATTCTGTGTTTGCTTTTTCCTAGTGAAAAGTAGTAGCTTTCTTGAAAAAATAAATGCCGTGATATTTATCCATCTGGATGCAGCTTGAAAAGAAACTGTCCTCCAAAAAACAGAAATGCAGTATGTTTTCTCCCAGCTCACTAGCTTGTGAATGACTTCTTGTTGTTGCTGTTTTGTTAATACACACTATAATCTCATTTTCTGTGTCAGTGATGTCCCTTCTTCTCCTACTCAACCAACTGTATAAAGGAACTGTGTCCCTCAGAGTTCCATGCTTATATTGGCTGTTCCAACTTTCCAGTACCTCAAAGCTACTTTTTGCAGATCTACTGCAATTTGATGTTTGGACCAATATATGATTTTTTTTTTTGAGAAGAAATACAATAATCAAGAAAAAACATATCTCCTTTAAAAGGCTTATGGAGTATTTTTTATGAGGCCCAGTCATTAACAGAAGATGACAACAGAGTCATTTTTCTTTCAGCTGACAATTGTGACATTTTTCCAGCAGTGTGCAAGGTGTTGAAAACCTGGCAGCTGTTACCTCCTGGGATGAAGACACTTTTTTATCCTCCCTTGACAGTTTAACTCAGTGGGTCAGCACCTTTAAAGACTGCAAAGTATCCTTGAAGAGGATGGAAGCTTGAATTACTGCTCCCTCCCTAATCAATGTGAACCCTCACTGCAGGTGAAGTCTCCATCTATAGAGGTGCATGGGGGAGGAAAATGTAATGCCCTGAGCCAGATGGTTTTTATCTTGTTTTTAAAGAATAAAGGAACAAGCTAACAAGGGAGACAGCCACTTTGTTAGCTTCTTGGCCTCTCTCATGGTTTTGCATCCCCAGGGTTCCAGCTGCACAAGAGACAGAATACAGGCAAACGTAAACACGTAAAGAAATATAACTAGAGGGCTGGCATCATGCTGCTTTCAAAGAGTTGAGAGAGCTCTCCTCAATGCTTTATTTATCACTGCCCACGTTCTCAGGATGGTAAGTGGACACATGCACAAAGGGAATGGGGGAATGGGGGGAGGACTAGACAGCGGTCACAATTTACCCAATTACAGAGAAAGTCAGGGCTGACAGATCCTATTAGCACCAATGTGAGGCAAAGAAGAGTTGTATGTTATAATGCTACATTTTCAAAAAGTATGAGTACTTCTTGGTATCCTTCCAAGCCTTTGCTCCTGATACTGATCTGAATAAAACCTGTGAGGACAGCAGGGATGGTTTTCTTGGCTTCACATTTTAAGGGTAAAAGTAGAAATGAAACTGTGGCTACTAGGTATAACCTTTAAAATAAAAGTTCTCACATTATTTACTAAGTAGAAGCAGGAAGATTATTCTGACAACAAGAAAGTGGATTTTTCTTTACAAAGATGCACTGCATTACTCCCTCCGACTCTCCCATCTCCAGCTGTTGAGCAACAAACAGAAAAGCAGGTACTCAAAATGACATGGTGACAGAGAGTAGCATCTCCTAACTTCTCTGTTAGTATTTCTGGTTTTGATAATAATCTTGGTCAGGTTACAGAAGGAAATATTCCTTCCTCTTCCATTTTCTGAAAGTATTTCTGCAAAAGACTGGTTTTATTTCCTTCTTAAAATGTTTACGAATTCAACGATTGAAATCATATGGGCATTCTGATAATTAACATTTTTATCATCTTTGTTACTTATATGAAGACATCATATTATACATATATAATTGTAAACAGTAATATTTCCTATCACCCCTCCTTCCTTTTATTTTCTATTTTTGTGATAATACAGTCATGTTCTATCAGCAATGGCAAAATCCTATTCTATAAGAATAATGTGAAAAAAATGTAAACTATTACATTAAGACAATAATAAATTACTAGAACATAACTGAACTTTTTATACTCAAACATGAGAGACCCTGGCATACGATCAGAAATAACTGTTTAAGAATCTTGAGCTAAGGGACTGACCCAATCACTTGAATCTTACTCCATCAGCTGTAGTTTAAGGTACGCTTGACATCTTTCTGTCTTCAGACAGACAAGAAAACAAAATAGAAAATGGCACTTCACTACTCTCACATGCAACAGAGAAACAAGGGAGTTTGAACAACCTAGGCGTTATGTCCTATCTTAAAAACAAAACAAAACAAAACAAAACAAAAACTAGAGTGGGATAATCAAGTTCAGGGCAGTCCTGGACAGCTGCCCTGTGACCCGCTTCCATTGACCTCTGCTATTCATCACTCTTCCCTGAGATTGAGAGGGCAAGCTCCTAGGGAGTGACCACCACAATAGACAGACACAAGCCAACAGTAATCTGGTTCAAGCAAAAAACCAGATGGCACTGCAATAAATTTACAAATCTGCATTCATGGGGCTGTTAAAACACCCAGGAGCTGAAAGAGTCTGAGAGCCCCAGGAGGATCTCCCACTTCCCTGTTTCTAAAGGCCATTTCTCTTCCGAAGAACATTGAGTTCATGCTCTTCACAAAGAGAATGGAGATAAAACCCTTTACAAAAAAAGGCGGGGCTAAGCCTCATGACCTAATTAATCTCCAGAGCTTGGATCTCAACACCGAATGACAGATATTAGAAGAACCATTCTGGAGCACGAGGAGTGTGTGTGTCAGGGGTGGGGGGTGTGTTTAAAATTAAAGTGGAGGGGTTGAGGAGAACCTGCTACAATGGCAATGAAAAACAACATTAAATCTCTTTCAAATACTGCACACAACAGATATTGCAAATAGAAAATGATTCAATAATGCATGCATTTATTTTTAAAATGAATCAGATTAGTCCCATGTGTGACCTGCTGGTCCATCTGTATGTGCTGGACTTAATAGGCACAATTCTCTCTCTTGCTTCAGTTTGAAGTATGAGAGAGATAAATTTAGTTTAATTTTCAACAGATCAGCCTATCCATTTTCCAAATGGACCATCTGGATCAGCCTATTAAAATTAATTTATAACTTTGCAGAGTGAAAATTCGTTTGTTAGCTTAAATAAAGTTGCCAAAACTTTTTGTCGTGTCATTGTTTTCTGACAGTTGTTTCTCTGTAGTGGGCAGAGTATATCCACTTCCAAATCTATCTTACTCAATATTGTTCTGCTGATGTAGATTTACAGATTAGCTCTTTATCTCCTGATAGTTAAAGCCATCTCCGTTTCAGCATCAATCCCGGATGGATCATTCAGTTTGTTTACTTCTGATTTGTTTCTAACAAAGCTTCCTGAAGGGACTAAATTTACAACAATTCTTTTCATAAAAGGCGGGGAGGGGGTAGGGTGAAGGGGCAAGGAAGGGGGTGCCTTTTCAAATTTTTACATAAACTACATTTTTTAAATGCCCTTTCCTGGTTGCAATATTTTCCCTCTAAATTAACACTATATAAAAATTGGAGTAAGAGGTAAAAGCAGAAACTCTTTGGCCAACACTGAGACCCCAGCTTTGAATCACTGATTGATCAACACACCCCTTCTGCCTCCATTTTCTCCATCTATAAATTCTAAGCCACATCATATTTCGCAGTCTTATAGGGTCACTGTTCACAGTGTGCGCTCAACAATTAGAACTCTTCCCTCATCTACAATGAGCCCAAAAATGCAAGAAAATTAAAATTATTTTACTGCTGCTGGTGCTCCTGTTGATTTTATGCTAATAATGAATACATGTCACCCTTACTTCCTGACAACATTTAAGATCTCAATATTTTTTGCCAGTGAACAGGAAATATATTAGAGACTGCTACAGACAGGAAGAAAAACAAATTTTAAGCCATGATTTTGGACATTTTGATGCTTAAGAAGAGAGGATCACAAAATTGGACTTTCACAAGTTTTAGAGGTAGTGGCATGGTGTTGTGCAAAATCTTTCATTAATCATCAATAGTGGCCTTAGCTTCTTAAAAAGCAAAATGAAATACTGCTCAAAGGAACCATTTCATGATAGGGAGATCAGGTTTAATTGCCATTTTTAAAGGTATAAGAATCTTGACAGTCAATTCTGCCATGAGAAGGACCTTCAAGTTGTCTTTTGATTTTATATTCACTACACTTAATCAACTGACTGCCCTGTAAGTTGTACAGCTAGGGCGCTTTTTAAATGATTGGGAAAATAGTATTACCTGATTGAAATTTGTGGCTAAGGCCACTAACTTAGGAGTAGAGTAGTCTTAATTTACACTCTAGTGTCTAAAAAATGGCAAACTAAGGGTTTCCTGTCTTTTGTTGTTGGCAGCTTTTTATTTTAAGTAAGACTGAATTTCATACCTGTCTAAGTGAATTCTTCTCTGGTATTATCTTCCTAGGGGGTTCGCCATTATTACAGTCTTCTCTCTCTGAGGAATTCTGTGAAAGAAAGTAAGCTTTAATTCAGTTCTCATTATCTTCAATCTTACTCCGTGGGAGTAAATTGAATTACATTTCTAATTCTGTAAGCTAGAATACCATGTATATTTATGCATTTATTCATCTGAAGATTTATATACATACAGACATACAAATAGGTAGAATGAAACATATGCCCATGTATATAAATACGTGTATGCAGAGATCTTGGTGTAAAGTGTTTCATCCCTGTTATGTACTGCCCAGATCATACTCACTAGAAATTTGCTTTAGTGACCTTTGACACAGGTTGACACTAGATACAAGAAAGTTCCAGTAAAAGCTCAGTAGATCACACATACACAAAAAAACTGTTTCCCTCTCCACCTTGAAAAAGAAAGATGACTACCAAAATCTGAGGGCAGGATAGGCCAGAGTTGATGACTGCACAGCATAACAAATGAGGTAACTACTGATATACTGTTATCACACAGGAGCAAAGTCAAAATTAAGCCCATGAAATATTTAACCTTATCTTTTTCTAAATGTATAGATCAACATTTTTCTTTTCTGAAGTAAATGTCTTATAATAAAAATTAGGGCCCGGCGTGATAGCCCAGTGGCTGAAGTCTTCTCCTTCCATGCGCCAGGATCCCATATGGGCACTGGTTCATGTCCTGGCTGCTCCACTTCCCATCCAGCTCCCTGCTTGTGGCCTGGGAAAGCACTTGAGGATGGCCTAAAGCCTTGGGACCCTGCACCTGTGTGGGAGACCTGGAAGAGGCTCTAGGCTCCTGGCTTTGAATTGGCGCAGCTCCGCAAGTTGCTTTCACTTGGGGACTGAATCACTGGATGGAAGATGTTCCTCTCTATCTCTCCACCTCTCTGTATATCTGCCTTTTCAATAAAAATAAATCTTCAAAAAAAGAAAAAAATTTTTTTAAAATAAACAAAATTAAACTAGCATTAAATTACACCTTCATAATTTGCAAGTAATTATTCCCAAAGTCATGAAAAGTTCCACTCTTCTCTGTCAGATAACAGGTTTAATTCAATGCAAAGTTCTGCATTCCAAAATTAATTATGCTTTCAAATGTCAATATATAAGTTTAAAGCCCAATTACTTTTTGGTGGAAGTATGGTGTCCAGGCATTATAAATCACACTCATTCTACAAGTGCACAGACTGAAACAAAATTGCTGGTAAGATCCTCCATGCTGAATCTCTTAGTGGCAGTGACTGGAACCTAACAGTATGAGTAGTGAGTAGCAACTAGTCAACAGTTTTCTGCCTTCTGATTTCTATTTCACTTGATTTGAGACAAGAGCTAGTGAGCTAGCATCCACTCACTCTCCGAATGCCAACAGCCATGAGCTCTGGGCTGGAGCTGGGGGTTAGGAACTCAACTAGGCCTTTTCCATGTGGATGGCAGAAACCCACTCACTTGGGTCGTCACCTCTATTTCCCAAGGTCTGCCTTAGCAGCAAGATCCCAAGTAAGAACCTGGAGATGACAGGCACTCTGATGTTGGCATCCTAATCAGAATTTTAACCACAAGGACTAAATGCTCAGCCCAATTTTTTTTTTTTTAGATTTATTTATTTTTATTGGAAAGGCAGATTTACAAAGAGAAGGAGGCACAGAAACAAAGATCTTCCATCTGCTGGTTCACTCCCTACTTGGCCCCAATAACTGGAGCTGAACTGATCTGAAGCAAGGAACCAGGAGCCAGGAGCTTTTTCTGGGTCTCCCATGCAGCTGCAAGGTCCCAAGGCTTTGGACCAGACACTCCCAGGCCACAAGGCAGGAACTACCTGGGAACTGGTATGGGATCCTGGCACATGCAACGGGAGGTTTTTAGCCAATGAGTCTCACTCGGGGCCCTGCTCCCACCTAATTTCACCTGATTTTCCTAGGCAACTGAGTACTACGAGAGCATCTAAGAAACACAAAGGCAAAGTGAACTAATCACAATCTTGAGAACAGAACCCAGAGCCCCTTCAGCAATCTCTTCCTTTCTCCATCCCTTTAGGCCAAAGGATATACCATATAGGTGGCCTGAAAGAGTGTACTTCTTAAACCAGAATAAAAAACACACAACTGCTGACACAGATTTGGCGTGGTGTTTTTTAGTTTTAGGCAGAACTACCAATACTTTTAATCTGGACCATCCTTTATGAAAAATGGAAACAAAAAATTGAACTCCGTGGTTATATAAAACAAAGGTAGCCACATTAAGCAGTCCTACCAGGAGCAATAATTAAATAATAAAACCTATAATGGAGAGGCAAAAATGCCTTTAAGAGATGAATAGCTCTACAGTCTTGAGGTAGCTGGGAATTATAGAATAGTCATTTTCACCTAAGTGGTCATCAATGTTCTGTGAAACTCTCCTTGCACCACCTGAGAGAGCTCAGCAACAACCATTTGCCTTATCGTAAGAAATCCTGGGGCCCACATTGTAGGCAAAGTAGGTTAAGTTAACCACTGGCTGTTCTGCTTCTACAGTCCAGCCTCCTGCTAGTATAGTGGCTTGGGAAACGTGGTAGAAGACAACCTAAGTGCTGGAGCCCTGCCACCTACATGGAAGACCTGAAAAAACCTCCTTGCTCCTGGATTTAGCCTAACTAATCACCAGGGTTTAGCAGGGCTGGCAATTGTGGCCACCTAGGGAGTGAAACAACACATAGAATATCTTTCTGTCTTGGGCCAGCACAGTGGGCTAACAGGTAAAGTCCTTACCTTGTATGCACCAGGATCCCATATGGGTGCCAGTTCTTATCCCAGAGGCTCTACTTCCCATCCAGCTCCCTGCTTGTGGCCTGGGAAAGCTGTTGAGGATGACCCAAAGCCTTGGGACCCTGCACCCACATGGGAGATTCAAAAGAAGTTCCTAGCTCCTGGCTTCAGATTGGCTCAGCTCTGGCTGTTGTGGCCACTTGGGGAGCAAATCAGTGGACAGATCTTCCTCTTTCTCTCCTCTTCTCTGTTTATCAGACTTTCCAATAAGAATAATAAATCTCAAAAAAAAATCTATCTCTCCCTCTGAAATTTTCAAAATAAATAAATCTTTAAAAAAAAAAAGAAAAGAAAAAAGAAATTCTAACACTCTCTCAGTTTCCTTGCAATGTTCTACTATCAACTCTGTCCTCACTAAATACCAGTACTTTATCTGGCTCAAAATTTTGCCTTCTCCAGGGTGCCATATTAACAATATCATCGATTCCAAATCTATTCATGTTGCTGCATACATCAGTGTGACTGCCAACTAGTATTTCACTGCTGGATATACCACAGCTTATTGATCCTTTCAATTTTCTGATTTTGAACAGGTACATTCCAGTTATTTGAAGGAATTTGTTCTTAAAACATACACTGAAACATTTAGAAGTGACATTTGGAAATAACTTTCAAAGAATACATAAATAGATATATGTGAGCAGAAACACATTAACTTTTGGGCCAGCATTGTGGAACAGCAAGTTAAGCAGCTGTCAGCAATGTAGGCATCCAATAGTAGTACCAGTTCAAGTCCCAGCTGCTCCATTTTTGACCCAGCACTTTGGTAACACAATGGAAGGGGGCTCAATGACTTGGGCCCCTATCACTCATGCAGGAAAGCATTTTGGCTTCAGCCCAGCGCAGTTCTGGTCCTTGTGGTCATTTGGGGATGGAACATGCAAATGGAAAATCTCTTGTTCTCTGTCTTGTCTCACCCTCTGTGACAGAGCCTTTCAAATAACTTTTATTAAAAAACAATTTGGTGCATCTGTGTAAAGGGTGGAAGTAGATTGTTCAATTCTGCCACAAATCTGAAATTAGGCCCAATATAAAAACTAATATATCTCATGTATAATATGCAAATAAGTAAAGGGAAAAGACAGAGAAGTGAAAATTAGGGGAAAAGTATTTCAACAAAAATAATTAGAAATTATAGTCTACTGCTTAATCCTAAACCAGCCCTACACAAACCTAACTTGCTCATGATTCATTCCTAACACTTAGATGAAATGCTTCTTCTCAGTGAATAATTTGCAAAAAAATAGTCCCTGACAAACAGCATTTACAAATAGCCATGTTATATTAACATATTTCTAAAAATTATGGTAACTTATTACTTCTTATATCAACTCAGTTATTTCCTATTGCAGCACTTACTAACAGAGTCAAAAGAGAATGCAAGTTTTACTGAAAATTGAAGTGTTCACATTACCAAGCCTGGAGACATTCACAGGGGTCTGAGCGGGAAAAGTCAATAAAGGAAACACTGCTAAAACTCAGACATTAGACCTCAGGGATACATTCTGCTGCCAGATGTTAGTAACCCAGGGCAAATAAAAAGAAAGGATAATCACATCAAAAATGTGGGATCAAGATTAAAGGAAGAACCATCAAAAAAATGTATGTATTCAGGGGTGTATACTTGGACTAGCACTTAAAACCCAGTACCTGGGTTTGACTCCTTATTCCAGCTTCCTGATAAATGCAGACCCTGGGAGGCAGGGATAACAGCTCAAGTAACTATATTCCTATAGCCATCCACATAAGAAACGTCAGTTGCCTTCCAGACTTTAGCCTCAGCCCAAGTCCAGGAGTGAATGAGTGGAAAGGAGCACTGTCTTACAAATCAACAAATACTAGGGCAAGTGTTCTGGCACAGCAAGCTAAGCCTCTGCTGGCAAAGGGCACTGATTCAAGTTCCAGCTGCTCTATTTCTGATCCAACTCCCTGCTAATATATGGGAAAGCAGCCGAAAACAGCTCAAGTGCTTGGGCCCCTGCATCCATGTGGGAGACTCAAGAAATTTCAGGCTCCTGGCTTTGATGTGGTGAAGCCCTGGCTGATGCAGCCACTTGGTGAGTGAACCAGCAGATGGAAAATTTTGTCTCTCCTCGCCTCTCTGTAACTCTGCATTTCAAATAATAAAAAAAAAGGTAAATACAAAATATTTTAAAATCAATACATAGAAGGTTAAATTACAACAATTTTACCCATTTCCTTTCAATTTATCCCAGACTTTT